GAGGGGGAGGGGGTAGGGAAGGGGCACCCCCGTTGGTTTACGCATAGCATGTGGAACGGATTGCACGAGCACCGAGACAAGAGGATGTGAAGTTTCTGTATAGGGAGAGTTTCCCCTATAGGGTAACCAGCAAAGACGGACCTGCCGAAAATTCGTGCTGCAGTGGCGTCCTCGTTTCTGTTTCCCATAGCAGGGGGCTACGATTTGGGGTTGGTGGAAGCTTTCCGCCTGGCAAGCGTCCGCCAGGCAGTGGGGCCCACTCCTAAGAGAGCAGCCCACCCCCTGCCCCACCCCCCGCCCCACCCCCCGAGTTTCCGCATGCTTTCCCAAACTGGAAAACCAGGACGGCACCTGCCTCCAAGCCGTAGAGCGACCATTTTCGACGGATGAGTCGGTGTCGTATCCTAACAACGAAACGACGGTACCCTTCCTACGTACCCTCTAAACCCCTCTAAACCCCTCTAACCCCCTCCTAACTCCTGACGACATACCCGAAATGGAAACGCCCACTAGAAAATAGAAGACGAAACGCAACGGGGGCAAGGGCAGCCTCCTGGCTGCGCATACAAGCGTGAGGGCGGATTGGAGAGCAAGGGCGTATTCACGAGAAAACGAGGTTTCCTGTTAATGGAATGCAAAGTTGATTTGTAAAAAAAAAAAAAAAAAAAAAAAAAAAAAAAAAAAAAAAAAACCGAGGTTTCTGCACGTATCTGAATCTGACCGGATATTGGGATAGATTGGGTCGAAAATGTCGTTGTCTCTGTATATTGTCTAAGGTGCTGATTGGGCAGCAAAAGTGGAAACGGAGGAGGAGGAGGAGGAGGAGGAGAAGAAGGAGGAGGGAGGAGGGGGGGAGGCGGAGGAGGAGGAGGAGGAGAAGGAGGAGGGAGGAAGGAGTAGGGGGAGAGGCGGAGGAGGAGAGACTCTCATCATTGACATCTCCGGCGGAGCTTTGCCAGGGGGAGACGACGATGGCGGCCACACACACGTTCCATATCCCGACGAGGTCGATCGGGATCAAGACTGCCACTGCATTATGGAGGGCTCTAGAAGGTACGACGCCCTCATCACGCATCTGGTCATCCCCACTGACATCACGTGCGGCACTCTTGGTGCCCATCCAATTGAGATAGATGGCTTGCTCCCCTCGTTCGGTATTGATCGGGTGTCTGGCCATTAGGGGTGTGCATGCGTGTGTGTGTGTTAGGTTGTGTGTGGTGGATGGGAGAGTGCTGGCCATAGACACTGCCGTTACTCAGATGGGGGCGGGGGCCCGGCGGCCCCATCCTACCCCCCTGACCACCGCCGATTGTCTACTGCGTGGGCGCGGGGAACGCAGCCCTAAGGTAGCCAAATCAATGAGACTTAAGAGCTAACACAAAAGAGAGAGAGAGAGAGAGAGAGAGAGAGAGAGAGAGAGAGAGAGAGAGAGTTTTGTTTCATTTATTGTTATGAGTGTGAGAGAGAGAAAGAAATAGAGAGAGAGTGTCCACTTCCACCCGAGGACCCGTCCTTCCTTTTTCCAAAAGTCCCGGTTCTACCACAGCTAGCTGTAGGTAGTCCGCAATTTTGCCAAGGACCGGTCCCCAAAAAACATTTGTCCCCTAAGAACCCACTTTGCGTCCTGGTCGCCCGCCACCGAAAATGCGACACCTTGACACAGACGTCGAAGCACACTATACCTCAGCCTTAGGGCTGCGAATTAGGCAAGGGCCAACACGCATCCCCTTAATTTTGAAAGGTAGCTATGCTTGCAGGGGTCTCCTGTATAAAGGTAAACTCGGAGTCTGATGTCATATTTTCGAACACATTTTCGATTTTTTTTTTTTTTTGGTTGTTTAGTACGCTACCTATGCTCTGAACGTAAAAATGTTTAATACGTTAGGCTTTTGTTCCAATGGCAGGTCATCGTTATTCCAAAGGAGCTCGTTGACGTAAGTAGGAATTGCTGCTGCCTTAGCGGGTTCTCCTCCTCCTCCTCCTCCTCCTCCTACTACTACTACTACTACTACTACTACTACTACTACTACTACTGACAACCTCAGCAACGGTACACATTCAAACGAGGGCGACTTCACTTCTCGATGACGAATCTTTGATCCCAATGCTCGAAATGTGTGTGTGATGTGTTGATACACGTGGAGGCGTGTGCCTACAAGTCTTGATTGCGTTCTTGTGTGTGCCTCGGTGCAAAATTGTGTGTGTGTGTGTGTGTGTGTGTGTGTGTGTGTGAGAGAGAGAGAGAGAGAGAGAGAGAGAGAGAGAGAGAGGAAAAGCGAGCAGTTGATAACCACGGGGAGAAATGCAGAGGCCAATGGGATCTCATTTTCCTCCATTACTTGATTTGGGTGACAACGCCGGGGAGAGCGCTGTGTGACGACAAACGTAGTGCAGATAGATAGATAGATAGATAGATAGATAGATAGATAGAAATAGATAAGATAGAATATAGACGAGAATGAATAGAAAATAAAGAGATGAAGAGATCGACAGGCACAAAGCCAGGGCGAAAGATCCCGACCGTCGATTCCTCATCGACGGTCAGAAACTCAGAATCCGGGGTAAGTGGGAGCTCACCCCAGTTTTTTTTTAATTGTTATTTTTTTAAGTGAAATCCAAGCACGCTGCTGAATGTCGCCCCAGCCTTTAAAATGCGTTTATCACTTTTTTTTTTCTGAAAAAAAAGGGAAGGGTACCATATTCTAAGGGAAAATAAAAGCAAGCACCCGATATGAAGGGTTAGGAAAGCTGATAAACACAGTCCAATAAATCTCTCGCGCATATTCAGCCATGTGCTTCCACACGCCCCCCGCCCCCCTCCCCCCCCCCCCCCCCCCCCCCCCCCCCCCCCCCCCCCCCCCCCCCCCCCCCCCCCCCCCCCCCCCCCCCCCCCCGTCTTCCCCCCCCCCCCCCCTCCGCTCCAGATGGGGGTATTTATTGTATTGCCCTTTCTCCCTTCAACTCCCGAAGGCCTCCAGTGTGGACACCGCAGTGCGGCCCGCCAGCAGTAATAATAATTGATCGGTGATAACAATAAGCCAATCAAGAACCTAATCAATCAATGAAATAATCAATTAATTAGTATTATATTCTATAATCAATCAATAATGATGCATCTCCCTTTGCGGAATGAGAAGAGCGAAGTTTCGGAGTTAGTTCCAATCAGTTTAGTATATTCGATAATGGATGGTGGCGGACGAATGTTGCAAACACGTAGCCTAAGCTCTAACTCCCCCTCCTCCCCCCCCCCTCCCCCTTCCCTCCCCCCTCCCCCCTCCACCAGGCCTTGAGAATGGACGCATGGGATGCTAGACGTAATGATGCTGCCTCTGCAATGATGATGATGGTGATGATGATGATGATGATGATGATCGTGATGGAGACGATAAGGGATTCTGACGGGTTGAATGACGCATGCGATGAATGATGATGATGATGATGATGAAGATGAAGAAGATGATGAATGATGAAGTTGATGATGATGATGAGGACGATGTTGATGATGATGAATGATGAGGTTGATGATGAGGTTGATGATGAATGATGAGGTTGATGATGATGATGATGATGAATGATGAATGATGAAGATAATGATGAATGATGAATGATGAAGATAATGATGATATCCAGAACAGCGACTGTAGGACATTGTAACGATTTCGATCATTATATGCGTGCTCATCGTCATTATCTATGGACTCATTATAACATCCTCGTCATTTTACCATTCTCATAATTATTTTATTATCATTTTTATGGTATTACGTTAATCTGCTTTAATAATATTCTGACGATTCGATCACTATCTGCATGCGGTGGCAATCATGATGATGACCATGATGAATCTTTCATGCTGATGATGACGACAACGATGATGAATCTTTGGTTGATGAATGATTATCATGCTGATGATGATGACGTTAGTGATGATTAATCTTTCGTTAATGATGATTAATCTTTCGTTGATGATGATTAATCTTTCGTTGATGATGATGATGATGATGATGATGATGATGAATGTGCGTGCACGATAATACCGATGGTAACGAACGAACGATCTTACCTGCAGATCTCTGCCACAAATCTCATCTGCAGAATATGAGATCTTAATTATCATCATCATCTTATTGATCTCATCTGCATAACATAGATCAGATAGACTTGACGCTTCCCGACCCCCCCCTGGACTGAACTGTTGAAATACCCTTCATCATTTGAACTGACCGGGCCCTACAGTACGTGCGTATCGGACCTGATTTCAGACCAGATTCAGCCCAGACCTGAGTTCGAACTCCATACTGCAATTCTGAATTACCTACTGTAGGGGCCAGTCAGTTCAAATGATGATATCGCAAGGCCGCAGCCCCCCTTTTTTTTCAAATAGAAAAAAGGTAGCCCTTTTCCTCCCCTTCCCCCCCTCCCCCCCTCCCCTCCCCTCCCCCGCCCCCAAACAAATAGATAAGGTAGATCTTAGCTGCAGAACGTAAGATAGATCTGATCTGCAGAAGATGGGATAGATCTTGACAGGTACTTGAATTGGTTGGGCTTAAAAAAGAATTAGCTTTAATAAACTCCGACGAAACAGTTTGTAACAGCCCCTCGTTTGTTGTCGTCTTCTCCCTCTTCTCCCTCTCTGCCTACGGTTTACCGGGCAGTTCTGTTTGACGATGTATATATTCATCTAGGATTTGTTTATGTTTGTTTCCCCCTGTTTTGTTATATTTGGCTGTTCCCTTCCTCTTTCTTTGCCTCTTTGCCTTTTGGTTGTGTGCAAGTGGGTCGATATGACACACGGGGTTGGGGGCAGCCGCCGCTCAACCTACATCCACGTGGGTTGCCTTGTACTCAAGAGGTTTTGAACAGGGGGAGTTGGAAGTAAGAAGATAAAAAATGAATTGATTTTTTTTTTCCGCTTTTGCGCTCTGATATCTTTGTGACGACACTCAGACACACACAGACACACACACACACACACACACACACACAGAGAGAGAGAGAGAGAGAGAGAGAGAGAGAGAGAGAGAGAGAGAGAGAGAGAGAGAGAGAGAGACAGAGAGAGAGCGAGAGTCAAACAGAGCTGCCCGGTAAACTGTAGGCAGAGAGGGAGAAGAGGACAAGAAACGAGGGGCTGTGACAAACACAGACTCATCAGGAGGCTGAACCCTGAACAGTCTGCAGAATCCCCTAACTGATTACACTGGAAGTGATAATCCACCTTAACCCGGGTTGTGGTTAAGCATCAACGACTGCCCGACAACTGATATCTGGGATTCCTTTCTTTTGCGGACAAGAGTTTTGTCCTGGGTGGACTTGTCCCGTGGTTTGGCCTGTGAAGGAGGGGTGGTGCTTGCATGTGGGACTTGTCATCTAGGATCCGTTTTTGGTGCTGTTGGTTGTTGCCCCCTGTTTTGTTGCATTTGGCTGTTCCCTTCCTCTTTTCTTTGCCTCTTTGCCCTTTGGCTGTGTGCAAGTGGTTCGATATGACACACGGGGGTGGGGGCAGCCGCCTCTCAACCTACATCCACGTGGGCGGCCTTGTACGCAAGAGGTTCTGAACAGGGGGAGTTGTAAGGAAGAAGATTAAAAACGAATTGAGTTTTTTTGTTTTCCTTGTTTTCTTTCTGTTTTTCCGCTTTGGCGCTCTGATATCATGTGACAATATATATATATATTCTCCCTCTCTGCCTACGGTTTACCGGGCAGTTCTATTTGACGATATATATATATATATATATAACTTTGTGACTATATGTATATCATCACATGAATCTGAGAGCGCAAAAGCGAAAAAAAGTGAAAAAAAGAAGATAAAAGAATGAATTCGTTTTTTAATATCTTCTTCCTTACAACTCCCCCTGTTCAGAACCTCTTGCGTACAAGGCCGCCCACGTGGATGTAGGTTGAGCGGCGGCTGCCCCCACCCCCACCCACTTGCACACAGCCAGAAGGCAAAGAGGCATTATATATATCTTTCTTTCCCTTCAGGTTTGGTTTCCTCCTCCTTTTCTTTACCTTTTTGCCTTTTGGCTGCATGCAAGTGGGTCCTTGTGACA